CATTTTAATTAGTTGCTATTCGATATCTGAGAGCTGTCATTTGCTGAGGTAACCTCTGGCTTCCTGTTTGAATCCATTTGCCTTTTACTTTCCATTTCACATTCGATTTCCGTAATTTCACTCTCAAGTGAGAAAGCTGGAAATTTGAAATTTCCTGGAGTATTCAAAGGCTGAGCCCCACGGGGACAATCTGATAATTAATCACATGGTGACATGTCTCCTCTGGTTCTCTGCTTAACTTTTCCAAGATGAAAAATCAGAGACTGGTCCCTCAAGATGTTCCAGACTTCCAATACCACCTTCCATTTGGGTAGTGATGTTCCACTTCCAACATAATTTAAAAGCTGGCATTTTACCTCCTCCTTACAACAACCGTGAGAGGAGGGACGTTGGCAAGCCCATCCCCACAGACAGTGACACAGCGCAGGGACAGGAGGTGGGAGCTGTCCACCTTGCACAACCCTATATTCTTTCCTGTCTCGCCACTCCTTCAACCACGTAAGCAGTGGCAGGGACAGCTTGATTCTTGAGTTAGAAGGGACATACGAATATCAGTTCCAGATGTATTTCACGCACAGAATCGTGTGTGTGTGTGTGTGTGTGTGTGTGTAAGAGAGGCAGAGAGGGGGCGAGGGGAGAGAAAGAACACCCCAGACAGCACCTTTGTCCAAACCACTGGATCAAGTTGATGAGCACTGGCCGCAGCCTGAGTTTCCTTAAATGCTTTAAACCTTGTGTGTTCATTAAAATCACTTGGGGGCCACGTTTTTCCCCCTACAGGCAGGTACCTCGGCCTTCCCGTAAGCTAATGAAATGAACCCTCAGGCTGGACACTGAACTCTGCTATTTCTAAGTTTCCAGAAGACCCTAATACACAGCCAGATGGAGAGCCATGTTCATGGCTAGTTAATGACAGACTGAAAAGCAAATGAAACAGGGGTCCTGTGTCTTGGAGGGTATTTATGGTAGCCGTCCCTCCCAACCATGTAGCTGGGGCCTAAACACAGATTTTATCCCAAATGTCGCGAATCTACAGGCAAATCCTTATGCCCGAGTCTGGGAATTCTTGTGTCTGCCCACAGCAGGGGTTGGCCTGCCAGCCTCTCCTTTGTGACCTTATGGCATGGCTGGACAAAGCTGAGTAGGGGAGTGGTCATTTCAGCCTGTAGATCTCAAGATGGCCTCTCCGGAAGAGAGAGACATGGGAAGGGTGTGGGAGTACAGATCGCAGGGCTGTACAATGGCGGGGGCAGGAGGGGCAGTGGCTACAGACCGCAATGTGGTTATTTTACACTAAGCCTGGACATGCCCTCCATGCTGCGGACGTGAGGTTGGCCTCTGAAGAAGCAGACATGGTGACAAACTAAATCCTTGTTTTTAATCCAAAGAGTTCTGCAGAGGAGCCCAAAGAGACGTGGAGTCCTCTCAGCTAAGTGGCGAGCCCACACTCAAGTGTGCAAACCCTCTGTGCACACTTTTGGTTCCGCCTCGCTGGACCACAGGTAGCCATGTCTCAGAGTCAGCTGCTTCTGTAATCGTAAGAACACCTCCCATGGATAGGAACGTGGCTCACTCTGGGAAAGATTAATTATGCAAAATTGATGTCATGCTTTGTAAAGCCCCATGAATCATAATGTAAATAGGCAACCATCAGAGAAAGCGGCCGCTGGCTGGCACCTGCTCAGCACAGGTGTATGTGGAAGGCGGCCTGTGGGGCATGGTGGTCTCTACTGTTGCTGTGTCACCGCCAGCCTGTCCATCAGCCCAGCTAACCTCCCGTACTGCAGATACCCCCGCCTCCTTGGTAGTCCTCCCGCTCCAGCCTTTGCCCACGTGCTGTCTTCAGGCTGAGTCTCTGACTCTCCATGAAGAAGCAGCCTATCTTACGTCTTCTTAGAAAGCTCTTTCTTGGCCAGTCCTGTCCTGTTGGTCCTTTTTAACACTTATCCCAATCTGGATTTATTTTATTTGTATTTCCCTTTGCTGGAAGGGACAGAGCGGGGGCAGAGTGCTTATCTGTCTTCATTGACTCTAGAGCCGGCACTGGCACAGCAGAGATTCTTAAATAAGCCAGCTGGAAAGAAGGAAGAGGGCTGGGGAAGAAAAGCAGAGCCTTTTCTAAAGTACAACAGGCATGGTCTGCTATAAACACACTCATTAATGTGAGTGCATTTTGTCTGGGTGGAGATCCACTGTGTTGATGTAGTTTGAAGTTCAAATCCCCACCATTGTTGATAACAAAGAGAGTACAGTCACATCGTATTGGAGACTTCTGGTCAACATGAGTACACATTAACCACAACATGCAGCTCTTCCGCAGGGCTTTCCCCTGGCCTGCCACATGTAGCGTGTATTATAACCACAGACATCACATCCAAGTCACAGCTGTTCATTGAGATGAGTCCCTGCGGCATTACAACAAAATTGTTCCCATCTCTCTCGGTGTCTCTGTGTATCTCTGTCTCTTTCTTTCTCTCTGACAGTACTGGGGTTTGAACTCAGGGCCCAGGCTTGCTTGGCAAGGCACTCTACCACTTAAACCACAGTGCCAGCCTTTTTGTATTGGCTTTTCTTTGAATAGCTCGCATTTATGCCCAGCATGGTCTGGACAATAGTACTTTTATTTACTCTTCTCATGCAGTTGAGATGACAGACACTCAGCTATCACTTGAGATGAGGTCGCATTAACTTTTTGCCTGGGCTGACCTCTATGAACCTCCAGACTCTGCCTCCTGAATGGCTAAGATGACAGGACTGAGCCACCACACTTGAGCCCTGTTTTCTTCGGTAATGTCAGTAGTAATGCAGAGTCATTTTAGTGAGGCTTATGCTAGACATGCAATTCTGCACCTTGAGTGGAAGCCCACCAGAGTCAGGAGCTGTTCGCGTGGTCTGGAGCACTATCAGGTAAGGAGTTGGCCCGTAGTGGATATACCAATTCGTGGTCTGGTGTGTCTGGTGAGATCAGCCAGCCAGCCAGTGGCAGGAAGAAGCTGATGTCCGAAATCAGAGCAAACCTCCGATAACCCACACTGGGTCAAGTTCATAATTCCCCACCGCTCTGCACTTTGATTTCCCCGAGCCAAGACCGCTACAACTGCCAGATGGAAGACCGACACTCAGAGCCACACTTCAGATAAACAATACTAGCACACAAAGGATTCTAGTACAAGTATGTCCCACATACTGTACAGGATATACTTACACTTAAGAACAAATCCATCATTTTCCTGAAGTCCTAATTTAACCAGGCATTTTCTGCTTTTATTTGCTAAAGCTGGCAAATCTAATTCCAGAAATAATCCTCATGATGCCTTCCAAGAAACTTTAGGTTGTTCCTTATTTTTATTTTGTAAATATTTTAATTATCCACATGTTCTTTATCAATGTTCTTACATTCCTTGTTTTCTGCAACTATCATCTTTTCTTTGGTATCTTTAAGTTTTTCACCCAGGGAATCCCACCAATACCACCATGATTGACTTCTCCTTTGTATATTCAATGCATAATAGTTTCCAGGACACTGAATTAGTTCCTTTAGCCAAACCCCTAAGCTTTTTTTAAAATATGTAGTTTTAAATTCAAGCTCCTTTTTTCTTTTTGTGCTGGCACTAGGTTTGAACTCAGAGTCTCATATTCTCACTTAGTTTTATTCACTCAAGGTTGGTGCTCTACCACTTGAACTACACCTCCACCTCCAGCTTTGTGCTGGATAATGGACTTTGCTGCTGTTTTCTTTCCAACTGTGATTCTTTTTTTTTTTTTTGGTCAGTTGTGGGGCTTGAACTCTGGGCCTGAGCGCTGTCCCTCAGCTCTTCAGCTCAAGGCGAGTGCTCTACCACTTAAGCTACAGAGCCACTTCTGGTTTTCTGGTGGTTTATTGGAGATAAAAGTTTCACAGAGTTTCCTGCCTGGGCTGGCTTTGAACCATGATCCTCAGATCTCAGCATCCTGAGTAGCTAGGATTACAGGCGTGAGCCACTGGCGCCTGGCATGAGAGAATAAACTTTTTTTTTTTTTCTGATCATGGGTCTTGAACTCTGGGCCTGGGTGCTATCCCTCAGCTTTTCAGCTCAAGGCTAGCTTTACCACTTGAGCTACAGCACCACTTCCCCAACTGTGACTCTTAGATCTCAACCACCTGAGTTGCTGGGATTGCAGGTGTGAGCTATCAGCACCCAGCTCAAATGCAAGCACTTTATACATAAATTAAAGATGCAAACAACCCTTCTCATCGAAACCCACATGAAGGTGGCTGCTGAACCTGCTCCAGAAAGCTCGGGCGATTTTCACGATCGCAACCACTCTTTAAAAACAAATCTGCTCTCTATCATGAAAAGTGATCTAAAAATATTTCCACAAAACACGAGGATAAAGCCATCTATATAATCTCTCCAAGAGGCTCGGATTCTTATAGATTCTAACATTTTCTAACGGTTCCTAAAAGTTTTGAAACATAAGAAAGTCAAGTAGACTTAACAGATAAAGCTCACTGAAACACTAAATATAATCACTAATGTTTTTATTATTCATATTACTTTTTGCATCATGGCAGTACAAATGATTGAACATATGTCCAGGTAAAGTTCAGACCATATTAAAACTCAATATGGACTTTTTTGTGTGGCATAAAAACATTTCTATCCATCAACTAAATAAAGCAAAATATTGATTAAATATACATAATTATAAAAATGTATCAAGCATTCAAGCAAATGGAACATTGTAGTTGTATATCTGGTGATACCATGCTGAGGTCCTGCTTGGAGAGTCACTTTGGGTAGATGCAAATACCACTGAGTGACTCATTAGACTTGTTAAGCTGACGCTGGATTGTATTTAATCTTCCCGAGAATGATGCTGTCATTTCACAAGGCTAAGTTAGCATTAAAATGAGTAAAGAAAGCCTTAAATATAATCAACGCAGTTAACATGATTTTCAACCTCTCAGCAGCCCTAAAGCTGAGAGGAAAAAAAAACACAAAAGACAAATAGCTGACCTTTGAGTGGACACTCATTCCTGGGCTCTGAAGATCTCCACTCAGAAGAGAGGTGCCAGCAATTTCGACCTTGACTTCGTAATTTCTTCCTTGATCTGGTAAGCTCACCCCTGAATTAAAAAAAAAAAGCAACCTCATTTTCATTCTCATTGGGAAGAGTTTGGCATCCACAGCTTATTACATAAATCACACAGTGAAAATATTTAGAGGTTGAATAAATCAGGGAAACACTATAATTCATCACATTATGGTTATGAGTTAAAATCGATGATTTCTGTGTCAATCAAGCCATTAAAGTATTGTACCTTACGAGAAACAACTTAACCTTTTCCTTCCAGACCTATAATATGTACTGGGTTATTATCAAAGGCAAGGTATATAATTCAGCCTTTCAGCAAGCAACAGAGCCCCACAAGCGGTGACTTTTTACAATGACGAATTAATGCACTACATAAGATCAGATCTCTATTAAGTCTCAAGGCTTTAACTGTATTAAGACTAAATCCATTGACTGAAGTCCCAGTGAATCTGTTAAACATAATGCCAATTCTCTCTACACTTAAGAAGTCTAATTTTATATGCTTCAGTAAGTGATTTAAAGACAAAATTAATTTGCCAGATCAGAATGACTAGATGGGTTTATGTTTTAAAAAGTCAATGCATCAAGAAACTATTCTATGCTCTTGTTTCTTGGGGCCAAGCATGCTGAACCAATTGCTACATGGACACAGGCTCAATTGGTTCCATTTCTGTAAGCAATCCTAACGGAAAAGATAAGGGTGTTCCCTTCTCCCTGTTAACCAGCGCGGCGGTGCTTTCTCTGGGCTTGCTCGCCTATGAGGTCACATGCCTGCTATTCTGTGCAAGCCAGCCGGGCTGCCAGGTGAGTGATGAGACCGGATTCTCACACGTGTTATTCCCATCTCTTTAAAAGAGCCAGGCCGCAGGATTTTCAGACCTGAGTCATAGCAGCACAGTTTCAGGTTACTGAAGAGTTCGCATTTATTAGGCACAAATGGTATTGAAATTTTAATCCTAGACATTTTACAATTCCCTGAATACTTTTAAATCCACACCATTTTATCATTCTCAACGTGGAAGTCTGCAGTGACGGTCAGGTTACAAAAGGATTACTACCGGAGCATTAACTGTCTGACACAGCCTCTCCAGAACATTCTGAAGCTGGTCTCCAGAGGTGGAAGTCAGCAATACAGCCCAAGGCAGAGGCATGGGCTGAGTCTCAGCCCTGTATGGGGTGGGGAGAGAGGACTAGGGTGCCATATGTTGAACAGGGAGAGACAAGCAAGGGAAGCTCAGGGCTGGGATGACTGTAGTCCTCATGAGGAGCCTGTGTACTGGAGATGAGGCCCCAGTCGTGGTAGAAGAGGGGGCTGGCTGCAGGCACTGACACGGGAAAGGTCCTGCGGATGTGGTAGGGAGTAAGAAGGAAGGGGCTCTCTGATTGGAAGAGGTCAGGAGTCTTTCTGGCTGTAGAGAGGCAACACTGGCAGCCTAGAGAGCACCAATCAATGAGTCCCCCCCCCCAGCTCATTACCAGCAGAGAACTGGCTGGCAGCACAGCAGGGCTGGTGCGGTGGGTTCCCCATCTCGTTGCTGTTGCTAGATGACTTATTTGCTTACTCTGTCGCTCACCAAGATCTTTTGAGACCCTCTGCTTGCTCACAAGCCCATGAGTAGGGCTTCTATACCTGAGTCCTCTACTCAAGAAGCACATTCAGTGTGTGAGGTGAGTGCTCGCTGTTCTCAGCAGAAGCTAATCCCTTCCAGCTGCACTATATCTTAAATGTAGCTTTACTCCAGAAGATTTGGCCATCTAAGCCCTGTGCGACTAACATCAATGTGCTGTCCCGTAATGGCCATTCCCGTGCTGGGACAGAGATCACTCCACAAGCCCAGGTTGAATATCTCTAGTCAGATGGCACCAAATCTGAAGCTCTCCCAAATGTAAAGGTTTTGACACTTGGCATGACACACCTGACTTCTTGTGATGAGTCCCAGTCAAAAGGAAGGTGCCCGGACAATGCTGCACGTGATAAGGTATGTATAAAATGATATACTGATAGGTTTTACATAAGACGTGTATGAGTTTTGTGCTTACACTTGGGTCCTAGCCCCACAATCCTTCATTCTGGAGGCAAAAATGCTCCACAATTAAAAAACTTCTAAGCCAGGTATCAGTGGAGGCTGAAATAAGGATTGTGGCTCAAGTCCAGCTTAGGCTTACACAAGAAAACCCATCTTAATCAGTATCTGGGAGTAGTGGAGCATTCCCGTCACCCCAGCTCTAACAAAAAGCATAAAATGGGTGGATTACACTGCAGACTTGGTAAGACCTTATCTCCAAACAACCAGTGCAAAAAACGGGTCTGGATGAATGGTTCGGCTGTAGAGCACTGATCTAGCATGTTTGAGATGCTGAACTCAAATCCCATTACCACATAAAGAGTTTCTAGAAAACCTAAGTCCAAATATTTCTGATTCCAGGAGACCAGATAAGAAACACTCAACCTGTAAGACCATCAAACAGAGCAACAAATACCATGGAAGAACAGGACCATGGCTAGCTCTTTGTTACCTCTGAGGCTCTCCTGAAAGTCCAATATTATTTCACCCTAAAATTTTAGTGACAGGAGAGTGGCTGGGAAAGGTGCTCTTGATGGCTAAACCAGAATAGCCCTTGTGGTCATCAATAGGGATAGAGAATGCAATGAGAGGAGACCAAATGCTGAAAACCCCCACCACCCCAAAAGGGGACTGAAGGTCCCAGCCATCGGCAGAGGACCAGTGCTGTGCTGTTCCTGAACAGGCCGGGCATGCCAAGCAGAGCAAATGATGCTTTCTACAGGGAGGGACCTTTTCATCCCCACAGTCAGGGAGTCGTATTACCCAATAGCACCCAGGAAGTTCCTCCCCATTGTGTAGACAACAGTGCACGTTGTCAATGCCTGCCCCTACCCCAAATTATGCAGAGCCGAGCAGCCATGAGAAGTGCTGCTCATCCCCGGTGGAGTCAGGGGCCTCATCCCAGAAGTGCTGTCTCCACCTGGGTCTCTTGCCCAGGACCCCAGGGGATGCATAGGTGGCAAAGAGTTCTGAGCCAGTTCTGCAGCTCCTGCAGTCAGACTGCAGCCTGCAAGTGCAATTAACGGCATTCTAATGAGAGCTAGCATGGTACTTCAGTTGGGTTAAGGCCACTAGGAAGTATCAGCATCAAGTAGAGCCTTCCCACCATTCTGTTTGGTGTACTTCTGAGGTTTGAACCCATGATAGGCAAGCTTTCTACCACTTAAACCATTCTCCCAGGGATTTTCAGAATAGTTCTCCTCTTCCTCCTCCTCCTCCTCTTCTTCCTCTTCTCCTTCTCCTTCTTCTTCTTCTTCTCCTTCTCCTCCTCCTCCACCACCACCTCCTCCTCCTCCTCCACCTCCTTTTCCTCCTCCTCTTCCTCCTCCTCTTTTTGCCTAAGGTAACCCTAGACTACAATCACCCTATCTACAATTTGGGATTACAGGCATACACCCCCGTGCCAAAATTTCCCCCCTTGATCCCTGAAAAGCAAGCAATATGACAAGAATTAACACCAGTATTATAGTAACCTCTCTAAAAAGCCAGGTAAAACTGTCACAAAAGTGATCTACATAAACAGACTAGTTAAATTATAAGCTCTTCCTGGTGGTTTTGAGTTCTGCGTTTGCAACACAGGTAAGTTTGTTAGATTGGTTGATAGCAAATCTAGTTATCCCAGGGCCTGTTAAAGTGAATGGAGAAAGAAATCTAACAGTAGCATCCTGTGTTCCCACTCACCCATCCACGGCACAGGGAAAGCAGGAGGTTTCCAGGGACACTCCAGCCAGGGTACTGAAAGGCCTGAAAGATTTCCAGCCAAGCTGCAGAGACTTGAAGGAAAGGTGTTTGCATTTACAAGAATATATTTAGATGCTGTCTCAGGAGAGAGGAGAGGCAAGTGAAACCCCAGGCCCACTAGCGAGGAAGAGCATTCCCATGTGCCCTCCTTCCCTCATCAAGGGAGCTGGCAGTAACAGTACGTCTGCCCCTTGACTTTGGTGACACTGGGGCGGTCTCAGTGCCTCCAGCCTCCAATGGAATCAGGCTGGAGCTCCACAAACCTAACCAAGAGCATTCTGCTTCCCTCCCCCCCCGCCCCGCCCTCTACCCCCACCCCCAGCATTCTTGGTGGCAGAGAAAGACTAATTTCCTAAGAGCAAAATATGCCAACCACTGAGCACTTCCCTTTCCTCTACTTATTCCAGCCTGTTACTCCACAAGAAACCCTTTTTGGCCCACAGGGCTTCCTCTAGCATCTTTATTTCAAAATATTCCTAGGAGGATTTGCAGGCAGGCCGTGCCAGCACTTGTGGGACGTTGTGTAACCCTCGTAAGACACTGAGTAACGGCTCCGTTTACTTTGTACAGTATTTATTATCTGCGTCTATGGATAATGAAGCCTTCCCCTGGCTTTTTAATTGTCTGCTCAGTCTCCCCTCTGTTAGCATCTGAAGTCAGAAGACTATGTCTTATGAGCTTTGCTTATGTATTTATACACTGGGATTTCTTTTAGATGGTGCAAATAAAAAATTTTATTTGTGCTGCATGGATAGGCAGCATAAATTATGCACAGCTGTGAGATATCGGAATGTACTTTATGGAGTGATCTTGTTGACAAACTATAAAAGCAGGTCTGGAATGATGCAGACATTTTAAAAAAACGGGCATTATAAATTATACAGTTTCCATACATTTTGTTTTGCATAATATGTATTTAAGTATTACCAAAATTCACCATTCGCTAAATAAGAAATGTGCATGGCTTACCCTGGGGAGGAACTTCCAGGACAATGTTTGGGTAATCTGACATGCCAACTACTGTGTGGCTCAAAAGGCCAGGGTGCGTCTGCCTTGTCCCGGAAGGAAGCATGGGAGATATTTTGGGTTCTGACCCAATTCTCTTCTGTGCCAATGAGCTCTGCTCTCCCACTGGGAAGAGCTTCCTCTGTTGTTTCGTCTGGGGCTGCCACCCTCTGGTGAAGGCAGATGAGGGAAGTGATAGGCCCAGTTCCTCAGCCA